TGTATAAGCAAAGTTCATGCTTACAAAATGTCTAATTTACTTTTTTTATGTGAAACTAGCTGAATTTGCATTGATTTTGTTTCCTTACACACTTCTTTTCTGCTACAGATGTGGAAAACATGAAAAAATACAGCATATCTGATATCAATAATATTACAGGACATAAACCTACCTTGTTTAATAACACATAAAGCTACAGGGACCTGCCCCTTTAATTCATCTTTGACCCCAATAACAGCCGTTTCAACAATATCTTTATTTTCTAAAATAGCTTCCTCAAGAGACCCTGTAGATAGTCTATGTCCTGCTACATTGATAACATCATCAGTTCTAGCCATTACAGCTATATACCCTTTCTCATCTCGGAATCCTGAATCCATAGTATCATAATAACCCTGAAATTATACAGTCTAGTTATCAGAGTCTATAGTATCATAACAACCCTGAAATTATACAGTCTAGTTATCAGAATCTATAGTATCATAATAACCCTGAAATTATACAGTCTAGTTATCAGAATCTATAGTATCATAATAACCCTGAAATTATACAATCTAGTTATCAGAATCCATAGTATCATAATAACCCTGAAATTATACAGTCTAGTTATCAGAATCTATAGTATCATAATAACCCTGAAATTATACAGTCTAGTTATCAGAGTCTATAGTATCATAACAACCCTGAAATTATACAGTCTAGTTATCAGAATCTATAGTATCATAACAACCCTGAAATTATACAGTCTAGTTATCAGAATCCATAGTATCATAATAACCCTGAAATTATACAGTCTAGTTATCAGAATCTAGTATCATAATACCCCTGAAATTATACAGTCTAGTTATTAGAATCCATAGTATCATTATTATTACATTTTGTCCTGTTTTGAAGATCTGATGAAAGCTGTTCACAAAACCTGATCTTCTTTGCCTTCAACTGTTCTCATAATAATTCCATAACAAGGATATCTTTGTATTCCAAAAATTGCATTAAAGATAAATGAAAAAATAACATCCTAATTTTTCAGCTTGTAATGAAATGTAACACAATGTGGGAAACTTTTCCAGGAGAGTGGCATCAGTGTACTATTTTTTATTTTCCGAATGTTCAAGGTGTTCTTAAACATGCACAGCTTCACACAAGACCTCGGTTTAATGTCCCATTAGATCAACTTCATACTGTTTTATGTCATTTTGATCCACATCACTGACAAGGGGAAACTTGGTTGAAAGTCTGGAGGTATTATCTTGACCTATGATGCCCTAGTCATTTAGCAGAAATAAGATTTGACTTACAGGAATAGTTTTAAAGTAGGTGTTCAGAAATCTATCTTCACTTTTATAAAGTGTAGAGAAAGCTGCTGGTGGAAGAGGTAATCTGTAATAGAAATCAACCTATTATTAAACTAATTATACAGAATCAGATGAGATAAGAGAGCATAGGTCTCCATATCCCAATACATTTATATCTATCACAAGACAAGAAAAAATATATTCGTGTCAAATTTTAAAATGAAAGTATTGTGAAAATGGTATACTGGACATGAATTGACTAAAGAACAATTGCTGGCTTGACTCGAGCAAGATTCTTTTATATAAAAGTACATCTATTATTTTATCTTACTTACTTGACTGCAATTTGTCCAAATTCATTATCATTACATTCTGTTCCATCAGGTCTTAAAACATGTACTAAAATATTCAATTAATATAATACTGTAAAATCATATCCCCAAGAGGGACATATGTGTGGAGATATGAATTTGTGGATTCCTATCTTTGCCAATGTAGTAGTAGAACATAAAACTCCATTCATTTCATTTCATGTTATTGCCAATGTAGTATATCATAGTAATCTTCATCCAGAGAAGTTGTTTCAATCCTCAATAATTCTATATACTAAATGTATAAATGCACCAGTGATTCAGTCAATTTCTATTGTTATCCCTTATTGCATTTGTTACACATTGTATTTAATTGCATGATTTGAAACTTATATTCTAAACAATCTATTCTGGATTGGGGAATTATTAACTGCAAATGTTATTACCTCCCTTGACACACTAAGGGGAGACAATAATACTTACTATTCCATCCTGGTACAGGTTTACCAGCTACACCTGGTGTTGGATAACTATCCATACCAAGACCAACACATGTAGCACTCATTGGACAGCCAGTTTCTACAATATACATACAGTATTGATCATCTTAACACTAGGCTTCGAGGCATTACATAACATAGTGATTTCACCCACCTGCACCTTCCCACCTCAAATTATATAAAAAAACAGAATCCTACTCAAATGTCAAACTACTCTTATTAGTAAATCAGATTTTACCAATTATAAGACACTTAAATATGACAGTAACATCTGAATATATTACCAAAGTTACCAACTTCTCTATGCAGTCTTTTAGATAAAAAAACATGAAAAAGCTTTAAAAATGACTAATTTTTAGGGCGAAGCATTAAATTTTTACCTGTCTGCCACCAGTTATCTAGAACAGGACAATCAAAAGCTTTCCGAGTCCATTCCATAGTTTCATGATCACAGTGTTCACCTGCTACAAATAATGCTCGAAAACTGAAATTGAATTTATTTCGACAAATTTAATGAACATCCTATCTTGATAAAAAAAACAACTGACCCATATTTCTTCTGATATCAAAGCCATGGGATGCCTATTTGTAGTAAATAAATTCATAAACCTTTCTTTGTTTACAATCAAACAATTTCAATATCCAACTATGATAGTTACATTTCATTCAAAATATAATTGCAAGACTTACTCAGTAAATGGAAGATATTTCTTACTTATTTCACCTTCTGAGTCCTACAAAAATAGTTAAATCTTATTATTGAAAAATTTTATAAACTGAAGTGTGAATCAGTGAAACATCTTGAAATAACATTGGTCATATCTCTGTTTCATATTAATTTATAAATGTTGATAAAAGTTGTACTTAAAAATTTCATGAAGGTATTCATCAATTCTGTATAGCTACTGACACATTTAGAAAGCTCTTATGAACATATCCATTTAAACCATAAGTTTATGATGGCATAATAATTATTTAAAAATTCAATTATGTCAAATTGACAAGAGCCTATGCTGCCAACACATGCTTCAGGTACACAATCCTGATCAGGACTAGTTTGAAACCACTAGACATTAAATTTCACTCAGTTATGTTAATTCTAGTGAATTAGTTTTGAAAAATCAAAATATATGAAACCATCCAATAACGTTCATGAAAGAAAATTGGAATGTCCAAATTCAGTTTCACATCAGGTAGTGATTGTATTAGGAATAAAAATATTACACACTGTGCAGAATTAATCAAACAAACAATCAGGAAATAAACAAGTTTCAAGAGAATGGCATTTTTAACTTTTTTTTTTTAAACTAAAGGGATTAAGAATTAAGTAATTAGATTAAAAGTAATTAATGATTTGTGTATAATGTGATGTTCTAAATATTCAGTAGTCTGTCATATACACGTAAGATTTGTGGCTGCCATGATAAATACAAAGAACTAGTAAAGACCCAACAATTCCATTGAAAAGAGCATATTGCCAGTATGTTATGTGTATCTAATTTACAAATGAGAAACTGACCCATCTGCCATAAAAATATAGAATGATCATAGCATTTCCTTTTAAAGTTAATAATTGGTGAGAAAATAACTTCGTTAATAATCATCCTCATGGGTCAAACAATCCAGATCATGGGAAATATTCAAACAACAATTTTTATGGTCAACTGATAATGGTCTATTGAGAGTATGGAATAGTCAAACTAATACATTGTGCACAAACAGGTCTGTATCAAATGATAAAGAGAACACTGAACTTTATTTTGAGGTAAAAATGGTAATGGAACTATATAATAGACTGATTTATATTGGAATTTGGATGTGCACAATAAGTATCTCTGCTTGACATTAGTAAGCCAATATTTATGAATGATAAATATCGTTATCTAAATGTTTCCCTTTTTCAAATTTGTTACTTCACACCAAACTTACATCGCCTAACTTTTCCTTTAATAATACAATATGGCAAAAAGTTTTAACAAGGTTTTAAAATAATAAAATAGTTTCTTTTTTGTCCAAATAATTTTTGTTAAGCACATTACGTTTCAAATTCATATTTGTATACTTATGCCTTCATAAAAACATGTAGAAGAATATGGCACTATCACCTGTTTAACATGTGAAAGAATGTATGAAACTTCATAGCATTTTTATTTCAACCAACAATCAAGAAATTAGTAATTTTGATCAGAGATAAGACAAATATATTTTCAGCCTTCATGGCTGAAAGGGACTGTATTTAGTATTCATAAATATACAGCAACTCACAAATATTTCTTTTCATGTAGGCATAGAGTTTGATACTTCCACCTGTTTGTGATCTCAAACAGATAAACAACTATGAAATTCCATTGCCTAATATTCATTATCAAGTCTCAAATACTCAGTTAACAGTCTACCCCAACTCAAAATCACTAACCTAACAAAATCAAAAAAAAAAATTCAACTTACAGCAGCTCTGATAGCACGTAATGCAGTTGGTGCTGTAAACATACCATTTATATTATGATCTTTAATAACTTGAAAAAATTTACCAGCATCAGGTGTTCCAACTGGTTTGCCCTGAAAATATATTCACTTGACAAAATAAAAAGATTTGAACCTTAAACACCGACCGTTGAATTTCTAGATACAAAATTTGACTACATTTGCTGAAAATTACATGTACATAATACAGATTAAATTGTCCATGAATAATGTGATATTCAAACTAAGCCCTGCAAGATAAATGAGTAAAAGATAGCTTGCCAGGCACGGTAACATACACCCACTGGCAGCTGTCAGAAATGATAATTGAGTCTTAAAAGTAGCCAAAATATGAATTTTCTCATTTCAAAGATCTGTAGGGTGAATTTATTCATATATATATATTTACTGTCAGTTATTTATGCTGAGTTTTTCACATTTTCAAAATCAATATTAATAACCTCAAATGTATCAAATCAAATTATCAAGTCACTCTGATAAAATATCTTAAAAGATTTAAGACATCAGAGCAGAGTGATTTGATAATTTGATTTGATGCATTTGGGGTTATTAATATTGATTTTAAAAATGTTGTGAAAAACTGTTTATCTAAATAATCCGATCATCACGAAAATCAATAGGGATCATCTTCATAATGACATTAACAAACAAAATCAAAATCAAAAGAATCTGTAAAGAATTGTAGCCTGTACACTGAGCACGAACCAAATTTGAACGGATGGACGGACCGACCGACAGGGTGATTACAATATACACCCATCTTACGTGTGGGCGTATAAAAATACCTCATAAATAACACTGGTGCTACCATTTAATAAAGGAGCATAAGCAATATAGGAATGTCCTACTACCCATCCTAAATCTGAAGCAGCCCACCATACCTAGAAATAAATCAGCTCTATTGACAACTCCACATCATCAAAATACACACCATTATGAAGTGATATTTATCTAAATCAATATGAAGATCTTAAATTCCAATATATTACCAGTTTTCAAGTGTCCCATAGGGCAAAATGCATTTTTTCATCTGGTCATTACCTGCAAATTCAGTCACATCAACAATCCTGGTTTCTATCATTATTTGAATAAGACAAATTTTATAATTGACTCGTGGATATTTGGATAGCCTACCTCTCCTGGTGCTATACCAAATACATTACTCATACTCCAATTTAACATGACAGCATGTCCACCATTAGGTCGTACTACAGCCTGGTAAAATACTATATTAATAATACATCTAGGCAGACATGATCCGAGGCTGAAATTTTTTTCGCATGTTGGTAATATGAACCTGTATATCTAGAATGTCTTCAATCCCAAAGGTATTTTTTCTTAAATAGCAAACAAACCAGACATCTGTCGTCATTTCTTCCATAACTTTGCTCAAGTAAAATTAGGTGGCCGTGATGAATTTAGTGTTCCAGTCATCTGATTGATTAATCAATAAAATCGAATTTAAATTTTATAATCTTAGTGACCAGTTTCTGTATTTACTGGATTAATACAATAACAGATGTACCATTACCTTAGGTAAGCCAGTAGTACCAGATGTATAGAGAATATAAACAGGATCAGTAGCTAGTACTGGTACACAATCTACTGGTTTAATATCACTCATCTCTTCTTCCCAACATACATCTAGGTTCTTTGTCATAGGAGCACGATCAAACTATTTAATATATCCATACATCAAATTACAAGTCTTAAACCAACTGAATAAATTCTGCTCCTGACTGCACTACTAACAACATTATTCAGCAGAAGATTCTAATCATACTGCTTTGAGACTTCAACTGCCAGTTCAAACTACCAGTAAATATTTCAACTGAGTGAATTTTTCATATTCAAAAATGAAACTTTTGAAAAAGATTTGCTAGATTGTGGTTATTTGAACCAAAAACTTTGTATTCTTCAATTGATATTTTGTCAATAAGTGAACGATACCTACCCCAGGCCTGTTAAATATAACACATTTATTAGGTTTAAATTCTATCATATTTAAGGCATCATGTAACATTGGTTTATAAGGCACAATTCTGTTGGGCTCTACTCCACAGTTTGCACTGACTACTACTTTAGGCTGGAAATAAAATGGATCTAAGTATCTTTGAAAAAGAACACATTTTCATTTCAACTAAGACAGGTGGTTGAATTGTAAATAATAAAAACCTCCAGGTAGCAGAAACGTAATTACCTCCATTATTTGTTTGACAACTCCCATAGAATCTGTAAGCGAGCACATATAACTAAATATTCTGTGAGAAAAATTAAGCAAACACAATTTTGGGCATTTGGTTTCTTAAGAGTCACAAATTCAAACCATCACATTCATTACAAATTTAAGAAACAGTAAATATGCACGGTACACTTTTGTGACAACCAAATATCTGATACGCCCACTTCCCAACACAGGAGTGACAGAAATCATACGTCCATATTAGAATGTATAAAAAAAGGCTATAGAACTTACAGCTAAATGGTTGATTCTAACTGACAATTCTTTAGCAGCAAAGCCACCAAATACCAGAGAATGAATAGCACCAATTCTAGTACAGGCCATAATAGTTATAACAGCTTCAGGAATCATTGGCATATAAATTAATACTGTATCTCCTTTATTTACACCATACTTTCTTAATACACCAGCTAACTTGCTTACCTAAATATTCATACTGTTAGAATATAGCTCACATCATGGCGATTAAAGGTTGTGTATAGCTGTGATCTGTGCTCAACTCACAATTTAGTTGCTTAGTTGGAAACATACGAACGCTATTCTTATTTGTAACCATATGCCAATTTTAGTTGGGCTGTGATTTCATGTCTACCATCTTGGACATTTTTTTAATGATACCTTCGAAAAAGGTAAATCATATGTAAAGCTGGCATTGTAATAGGAGAAACTTTGCTAAGACAGTGGCAACAATCCACGAAATCATTCCGAATAACTCTTTTAAAACAAATCTTTCCATACCTTCTGTTGTAGTTGCTTATAAGTTATTTTCTGTACAGTATTAGTAACTGGACTGTCATGTATTAAAGCTAGGTTATCTCCCCTGCCAGAGTCAACATGTCTATCAACAGCATTATAACAAGTACTGATTTCACCACCACTAAACCTGAATTAAGTAATATACATACCACGATTCTTACGTGTTAACATATCCCAACAGATTCGTTTAAACGAGGCCCCTAGAAACCAAATTTTTAGCAAATATGGATTGATAATACTTGATGGTGCCAGTCTCCAGAGATTGTGAAGAATGTCAAAGCGATGACTGCTTACACGGGTACACAACGCGTTTTGGGTTTCGCCGACATTTTTTACAGTAAATTAGGTAGGCCTACATGATGTTTCTGGTACAACACCTAGAACCTCTTCATTTTAATTTAACCCTGTTCCTTAAGTTTACTAAATATTGGTATGTTTTTTGCATGATGCACAAACTCTAATAGTACAAATGAAACTGGTATCATAGGTGTATTCTATTTTTAGAATATATGGCTAAGCTGTTTTCCCTCCTATTCAACACAGTCATGTGTTTATGTTCTAGTTTTTACGTCTCCTAAACAAGTTAGAAATATTAATCTATGATATGATGTAACTGTATAGTACATTATGTATTATGTAGAGTCAATGCATTGCTGTATAAATTGACAGTATGTCAAGAGTTGATATCTTATCTTCACCTGGTGTAAAAATTTGAGGGGAAAAAAACAGCACTGCGTGAAAAGTAATTGCTATTCTATATTGGTTTGTATAACCAATGATTGACATTGAACTCGTCATACACATAAAAATGTAAAAAAAAGAAAAACGTCTGAAGTAGGCTGCAGAAAATTTTTCTTACAGGACTATGTCTGGTAAAAGTAAATAAGTTACAAAATAAACATCATTCATGGTAGGAATTTGCATTCAACAATGGGCAGAATGAAGCTAAAAGAATCCAATACAAACCATTCTGTAAAGGGTGATTTAGAATTATCTAAAACTTTATTCCATTTCTTGTTCCAAACCAGCTGATCTGCTGCCTCAGCCCAAAATTCGTCAGGATTTTTGATTGACTGGTTAAAAACGTCATCATAACTCTTCCCTTTACTTGATGTTCCGTATGCATGATTTTGCAGCTGAGCAGAAACGTTATTTCGTCCGACGGCAGCATTTAAAACTCTTTGATCCACTTTAAAGTGTTTATTTTCAAGACATAAACTAAGAGCTCGCCTCCTCCAAGCCATTTTCAGCTAGTGACCTTCAACTGTAAACAAACAGTTCATGACCCCAATCATGAACTCTACGCTGTACGGATGCCGAAGAATAACAAGATAAAGGATAATAAAATATTTATGACCCTAGTAGGTATGTAGACGGGAATGTACGATTTATTCTGAATAGAGATCTCAGTTATAGGTATGGACATGATGATAATTAAAGCAGTACAGATTTGGGCATGTGGAAAAGGTCAGCAGCAAAATCAGTCAATGAGGCCGAGAGCAGGTTAAGGCAAAAACCTATAGTGGGAACCAGTGGCAGTAGGAAAGTAGGAAGACAAGGCTATGGAACTTCTAAAAACTGTTACTGGAAAAAAGCATGACAGTGGGTGGGGGGGGGGGGGGCACCCCTAATTGTACCCCCACTTAAAATGTCTACCTTTTTCTCCAAAATATGTGCCAGAATGCATCAAATCAATTCATTTTTCTTAAAATTTTCTTGAGAGAACCCTATAAAGACGCTCTTATGAGGACTATGACACCACCACAGATTAGCCAAAATTTAACTCAGTCTCAGGTGTTAAGGGAGCTTACAGACATTGTAGAAAAGATTTATTTTGTAAAAGAGGGCGAGACAGCAGCCTGAGTAGATGTAGTAAAGATCCAGGGAATACTTGATCAGCCCAGTTAACTGTATAGTCCTCAGCCATAAATTGACTAATGCTGATTATTGTATATTAATTTAATTATTAATACTCATTATTATATCTTATTTTAAACAGCATTTCAGATCCTTCCGATGTTCCATGATACATGAGGAAATCTAGTCTCCCCAATTTCCTATGTAGATTCTACTCTTCCGTCAGAAGATGATGAACGGTCGTCTCTTTATAGTATGGGCAATTTTTGAAGAGTGTGTTTTCTCCGTTCTTACTTCGATCTCCTGGATCCTTTGACTCGATTGCTCTTGTGGGATAGTTTCATCTATGACAGCTTCGACTGTTTCGAGTTCATATCTTACAAACTGCTTACCATTGATATTCGGCCTTGAATTTGATGGGCATATACAAAAGCATATCTCAGCATTTTCTTGTTCATTTATACAGCTACTTGAAAGATCTTTTAAGAAGGTTCCAGTTTTATCATGCAAAACAATGTGTAAAACGATTTTTTCGTTTGAGCGTAGCTTTTAAGTTTTTCTCCCCTGTGGGTGAATGATATAGTTCTAGCTCTTATGTTCAAAAATAACACTTCCAGGAATAGTTTATCATTAATTATCAGGAATAGATCTTTCTGGAATATTATATTTCTTATTATGTGGGAAATCAATGCTAATTTGAATTGTTGTGAAAACATTGAATTGGTCACGACAATTTCCTATAAACACAGGTTTCTCTGGTCGAAACACGTGAAACTCACTACAATAAACGTAGGAGGCGGGCAGTTGCCCGTACGCCTATGCTCACTACATGTTTAAAACATTTGTCCGTATAATGACTGCAATAGCAACCTTAGCAAATACCAGGACCGCAGCAGACTTGATTTTCGGAGGGGCAAATGTTATATTCGGAGGAGCAATGGGGTATGGTAATCTCGAGATGTCGACCACAGAAATACAAAATTATAGTAATGATATGATTGATTATTATATAAGTATATATTTATATTTATACTATGGTATTTCAATTATTAGTATTATTATAATGATGATAATGATGATAAACGAAAGTATGATGGTAATTTTGTTATAAGCGTAGCGTGAACATTTTGACTGCGGAAGGTGTGGGGGTGTAACGTCTAAGTTTAAACGACAAACAGCTAAACGCTCCTTCAGAGAAAAAATATAACTAGTAGTAAGTTATATATGCATACGTACATACGAAATCCGTCGTTTTAGATTAATTCTTTGTATGTTTTAATGTTTATACAATTATTTCAACATCAACACGTCCATTGCTTGCGACGGCCACTGGAATGGTCAACGGTAATTGGTGAGCTTTAGCAAGGTTTGGTGAAAACGTTGCTTCTCGAAGAGATATACTTTGCAGAATTTTGCAAATTCTTTTGATGTAATTTCCTATCATTTCGATATCTGGTAACCATGCATCGGGATCTTTCAAGGCAAGAAGAACAAGATTGCGCTGGCGAAACTGAGTCATAGATCGTCGTTGTGGTGAGTCAACACGAGTAAGAGTCGAAAAGCTACTTTCACAGTGTGTCAGTCGCAGTAGTGTCGGAACCATCAAGCAATTTGTCTTTTTGATCAAATATTTATCCATTTTTCCTACTTTGGGTTGTTTGATTCATATGAATACAATTTAGGATAATATATGTCTAATGGTTAGTATTTATAATCAACCAATGAAATCTTTTGAATTTTGAGACAGATTACAATCCAGTATCAGACCAATAATTTTGTTACCAACGACGCTTTACTGGGGACTTTTTATGATTTTCAACGAACTCAATTGTATCAAATTGTCTATTCTAATGTAATTAAATTTTAAAATGTAATGAAAAGCTATGATGTCTGGTTTCATCCTCAGCTAAGTATAAACAGAAAGATATTTAAAAACAGTTCTTAAGTAGGCTTACAGATAGGAATACTTAGTATTTTGTTGAACCATTTCACATAACGCAGCCCTGAAAGCCATAACCTAATTTTTCGTTACGTAAAATCAAAATATCGAAATACTCATCATATGATCGACAATGCAAGAGCAGCTGACTGGTGCACTTACTCCACCGTAGAATGCCTGACCAGAATGACCACTCTTGGCCATTCACTCAGACTCAGTTACCTGCCGCTCCTATTGACTCAGGAAAAAGAAAAGGTGTATTTTAAAAAAACGACCGGAGGGGGGGGGGGCATACGAGCAGACGCACGGAAGGGCGGACTGACCGACGGACGGACTGACGGACATTAATGTGTGGGCGTATAGAAATGTACTTACTATTGATAAATGTGTTGTTCCATCTCTTGTCAAACTTTGTTAAGCAGTACCATGAAAAAGAAGAATAAAGATGTTACAGTACAATATAAAATTCAGTTAAACTAACATATAAAACAGTAAAAAATACGAAAGATTTTTCAAAGTGAGAAGGGAGCAACCTGCGATAGAAAGAAAGCGATGCAAACATTAAGATCTGTATTTTAATCAAATTGCAAAACAGAACGCGTCGACATATAATCTGTTTCAAAAGACGCGTTCATCAAAGGCGCGTAATTCTTAAATAGAAGTTCAAATCTCAACATGAAGCGTCCAAATCCCTACAAAATTATTAGTGTTCTAAACTGAACGCACTACATGTATACAACTGAACACGTAGGACGCGTTCACCTACTGTTACAAAAGACGCGTTCAAAATTGGCGTCAAAAGTCGTTCACTGGGTCTAAAGTGTAGGTCTTAGATTGTTAGAACGAACATAATATTTCAGTTCTCAAGAATGGTCAATATGAGTATATATTCATCAGTGAACTTACCTGGTGTCATAAAGTTACAAAAGAATCCCTATAAAATCTGGAAAATTTGAAAATTCATAAAACTAAGTAATTATTGAAAAACGCTTAATCTTAATATTAAGCTTTTTTTCAATAGTTAATTGCATATTTATGGATAATTACATGTTTTTTGGATTTATCGGATTATATAAGGATTCTGTTATGTTATTTATGGCACCAGGTATATCTACTGATGAATATACATGCTCTTATTGACCTTTATGTATATACAGTGTCCATCATACAGCCTTTTGAAATCTTCTTGAATATAATTTACAAACAAGTGAAAATAAACAATGCATTTGCAAATTTGCAGATATTTCAAGATGGCTGACTTTCATGAAACACTTGATGTGTCTAACGCTGCATTGCATACCCAAACATGTTATAAGTACCTACACAAACATAAGAAAACGGATCGTGGTAAAGCAGCATCAATATCCATTTGCCTTAAATAGAAGATATAGGTACGTAGCATCATACCTGGAAATGTATCGATCGTCTGTCCACTTCAAATTTTACCTCTGGTATTCAAGCAAAACAATCCCAAGATTCAAATTGATCAAAATTTATGGGTAAAGAACGTTATAAAAACTCATGATGACAACTCAGGCTGGTAAAGGGTTAACAGAATATTTGATTAGTCAATGGGGGGTAACTGTAGTAAGTTAATTAGTAGAGCAATTATATTCTGGAAAAGGATCGATTATCTATAGTGGTTTAGGCTTTCACATGCTTGCTCTCGAGTCCGAGGTCGAGCCTCCAAGGGATAATTAAGGAAGACACCGGTCGGCATTCTGCAATAAGGGAAATTTTGCAAGAATAGTTTAAGGTTTTATAAGAGAAACTCTTTTTTCGATTTTTTTACTATCGAGAGATCTGTAAAGTTCATGGCCTGAACGAATAAAAAAAAAAACAGCCCCATTGTCGCATTGGAAAGACGCTTTTCCATATCAGGCGAAAACGAGTGTAAATGCCAAATGATGATGTTTGGAAGTTTTCATGTAGATTCCAGTTAATATAGCTTTTAAATCATTTTTTGTTTCAAACTAATGTTATTAATCATTTCATAAACATAACATAATATGTTTTCTAGAGTTTAATTGTTGCATTCTATAAGATAAATAACATAACCTCAATGCAAAGGTATTTGTGTGAAAGTAACAAAAACGTTTATCTTTCAGAAATATGCTGATTCCATTAAAATTCTTAAGAAAAAAATAATTTTAACATGCATAACACTCTGTAAGAACTGCTAGTGTAGTGAACATGTGGCAATGTGAATATCTCAGCCAATCAAATCTCTCCATTTCTAATCTAGGTCACTCTGCTCTGTGCTTCACATCTCAAGTCCGTTCTCCATTTTGGATTTTTCATCGTTTTAGTATATTTTATTATACGTATTACTTTATGGTGAGTCGATGTTTTCTTACTCTAAGTTGACAGAAATATAGCTTATGATCTATAGAATGCAAATATGTGGGTTTTTTTTGGAGATTGTAGAATTTAAGCCGTGAATAATGACACATAAACATGAAACATTTTGCGTAAATCATTGATTTTCTGAATTATTTAGGTCACAGTCTACGATATTTTTAAGATAAAGAGAAGGAACGCCCAAAATCTTATACAGTTTGATGAATTTGCAAAATTTCTATTCTGTAATGTCACTTCTTGTAAATGACATCATGTTTTAGGCTATAAATAAGATGAAACATGTCCAAATTTGAGCGAGTCGTTGACTTTTATGATACACAATATAGTTAGCAGTCGTCTCATTGAGTAGGTCATTCATGATTTCCATATAGTAACCTATAGTATAGTTTGTTCATTATTTGTGGGAGTCATTAGCACTAATTCTTTCCCATTACTTGCATCCTTCAGGAAAACTCTTATTTTTTCCATTCTATCTTCTTGAACTAACATTTTATTTCTAACTGATAGGCTAGGCTAATATAAAATAAAACTACAATAATAAAATATTTTCACTGTTAAAATAGTGCTCAATAAAACGAGCGATAGAGCGATATAGAAATATTCTAAATAAAATTTATAAAATAAAATCTCTGTAAGAAACGTAGTTAGTCACATAGGCCTACATTATATTATTAATATAGATTCATTCAACAAACATGGTGATGCAAATTTTATAAACTTCCGATTTAAGCTTAGCAACGTTAAAATGTCAATTGAACTGTTATCTGTAGGCCTATTTATAATCGATCAATCAAGATATGTAAAGTTTTTAAAAATGACAACTAGGAAAGACAACTTAAGTCATAAAGATATTACAGTTATGATATAATAGGCTAAACAAAAGGCCAGGGCAATCTTAAATCATTCATTAAAACATTTGATTTCTTATCCTAATGAATCAATAGTAACAATGAGGCTAATTGTTGTTTCTATAACAATAGGGTTAAATGTTCAACTTGATTATCAAAAGATAGGATGGGGAGGGTGGTGCTTAATTACCCATTGTTTCTTAAAGAATTCATTAAGGAAGGGTAGGTTGCATCTCTCGTTACCAGCTGTGGATGCGTGAAATGAGGAGAAATGTTACCTCAAATCCCCACTCCCTCCCCCTGTTTCTTAAACCTCTTAAACCAGTGTCTGTACGTTTTTTGTATACCGTTACTGATGATGTTCTGGATTTATTTAGTTGGCATCCGAATGGAAATGTTACTTGTTGTTTGATATACGAAATAAGAAATGATTTTAAAATGATTTCAGGTGTATCAGTTCCAAAATGGAGAACTTATCTGAGGACGAAGCTTTACCAAATTACAGTTACCAACCACCATATAATCTACATGGTTTAATCGACATTGGAGCTCTACAACAACATTATTCCCAACCAGACAACCAATCCCATCACTCCTTACATAATACAACACTTCATTCAACCAATGAGATTCCTGCTACACATATTCCCGTACCAGATTACACAAACCAGAACTACAATCTTCCTCATAACGGTGGCTATGTGGATGGACAGAATGTACCAGTTTACCCTACTACTATATCACCGGTACCAGAACAACTTGGCATGCCTTCTAACATGGGTAATACTTGGCAACCGACAGGTAAATTATGACACACATTAGTAGTCTTTAATAATATACAAGTTACAATCTTTTTGACAAGTCCAAAGTTCCAAATCCAATAGGACGGTTCTTACTTAACCTCTACCCACATAGAGCTTTGCATGTCATGACCATTAATGTCCAAAATGTTCAATGAAAATTTTCTTAAGAATTTATCAGACTACTGTCTACGAAATAGTCTTTTTTAAACGAAAACTTGTAGGACAGACTGCCGGGTTAAATACTTTTTGATAACCAGTCTTTAGAATGTCTAGCGTGACTCTTATCTCTTGTGAATTTTAGGTATGAATAAGTTGGGTGTAGGAAGATGGAGTGAAACAAGGAACCAATCACAACATCGTGTTGAAGTTGGTGGTATTGGTTGGACAGATCAACTCAATAAAAGTATGCATAGATTAATGGAGATAGACATTATGTGTGATATGATACTGGTGTCTAATACAAATCAAATTAAGGTACTTGTACATCAACTTTCAATAAATCAAATTCCATTTATGCACCACAAAATTCGAGAAAACAATAATGAATATTGGATTCAGTTAAGGCCCACGTAAATGCATTTACACGTTCCTAAACCGACCAGCCGTTAGAGCAGTACTCAATTGAGGTAAGAGATATATAGTTAAATAGGAGTTAATCCGACTTTTTGAAGCACTGGTCGTGGTATCAGGATTTCCCTTACCTTGATGAGGATTTAGACAGTAGGGCCATATATCCCAATCAGCGAACATTTAGTTACGTATTAACGTTTTTTTGTCTTTTTAGGTCCATAAACTTATTATTGCCGCCTCCAGTGACTATTTGTTAACGTTGTTCAAGAGATACGGCCATTTTAAAATGCTACAAATAAGTATACCTATGAACATTTCAATGGAGGCGTTAAAGACCTTTGTTACATTTCTATACTTGGGTAAAGCCGATTTAACTTCCGAAAACATTCAAGAGGTCGCCATGTTGGCCAATTTGTTCAAAGTGCAGGTTTTGAAAGACGTGATCATAAAACTATCGGGAGACCAGAATATAGGTCAAGATGACAAACTGCGTGAACTGCAGCTTCTGGTCTTGGAATTCTACGACAAAAGAGACGAGTGTATCGATACTGGGTCACTGGTGGGTACTACTGAACAGGGTATCAACACTGATACAGTCACAAACATCAACATACCTCCTCAGATCACTAACGACATTACAGATATCTTGGGAGAAGATTTCTTTTGTACCAAGAAAATCCAAAAGAAAGCCCCGATGACTCCTCCGCATACGTATGGAACTCGATCAACTGCAGCGTTAAAGGGTACTCCCAAATCTCGACGTAAAACATATATTGAAGAAATAACAAAGCAGGATCTTGAAGCTCAGAATAAAGCAGCTGTTTCAGAACCACCGACAGACAAACCTAAAGATACCAAGGAAGTCTACAGAGGAAAGAAAAGTCGCCTTCTGGCAGGTGCGTTGACGAATGATTCTCACGAAACACCAAAGACCAGAGGGAAAGCTAAACGAAAGTTAGACATAGCTAATACAACCAACCAAACCGCCACGCCACAAATACAGCCTTTAACAGATCCTGCCATGGACGAACAAAACATGGACGAAGCGTCGGTGGGACGTAAGACCAGACAGAGGTTAGATAACACTTGTTTATAAGAATGGAAGCACCCTTACCTTAGGCTAGTCTCTAATAAATGAAAACTAATCGGAAACAGTATATCCAAGGGAATCGACATCTGTTTAATTAGATTTCTGTAAAGTTAAAGGTACAAGTGTGCCATTTTTTGGGGTTGATTCGAATATATGTTAATAGTTTTCAGAAGTAATAGAAATGAACGGAAATCGCATAATTCCTTTAAAATACTTAGTATTATAAATTGACGAGTCGTCATTTTAACATTCAAAGACGGATAATTCTAGACACACATCGAGGCTCACATTTCGACAGTGAGCTGTGAACATTATTACTGATTGACTTGGCTAAAAAATTCGCGTTTCTGATACTAAAGTATGATGTGTCAAAAAATGCTAATACTAAATTCGTTTGCGTAAGCCTTATAAATGTTGTATTCTCTTTTTCAGGAAACCAAGTACTGGAACTCAAGTGCCTACAGTCAGACCGCCTCCGAAGAAGAGAGCTAAAATGGCATTGCAGCTCAGCTTAGACGATTTATTCAATGATTTGACCTACGTAGACGCTTGTGAGGACGAAAACGTATGTGATGATGCAACAGATGCTGTTGATGAACCTGAAGCACCCGAAAATCCAAAGACATCTGAAGAAACTCCAAACACCTCGGAATCTCCCCAGGAAAAGACGAAGGCTACTAAGAAATCGAAAAAGAGTAAGAGAAGTAGGATGGCAAGGTGGAAAAAGTCCAAGAATATAATGGGGATCGCAACAGATATCGAAAACATGGCAGAACATATTCCTGAAGCGGAACGGCAATTCAAATGCACCATGTGTGGTAACGAATTCGTGTTCTCTAAGCGTTGTATCAGCCATATGATGAAAACACACGACGTACGGGAAGATGAAATTATATCCAATATCATCATCAGAAGCAAGTCGGAAACGGATCCAAAAATTTGCGACATCTGTGGTTATAAAACGAAGGACCAGAATTTCTGCTACATCCATTATCATAAATATTTCAAACATGGCGTACCCTTACCCCAAGGTTGGAAGGTTTATAAGTGTGACGAATGTGGTAAAGAATGTTTCACTAAATTCATGTTAAAGGATCATAAATTAACTCATATTGAAGAGACTCCTTTTATTTGTGAAACGTGTGGTCAGGGCTTTAAATCGCGCACCTGTTTAAACAGTCACGTTCTACATCGGCACAGTGAGGTGAAAAAACATCCGTGTCCGAACTGTACGAAGACTTTTAAAACTAGAACTCAAATGAACGTCCATTTCCGAACACATACTGGAGAGAAACCATTCAGCTGTCCACACTGTGAATATAAAAGTACCACTCGAGGCAATATGAGACTGCATTTAACCAATAAACATAAGATCTGTGCGGAGAAAGTAAAATCCATAATGGATAATATGGTGGTGACCGAGCCACCAATGGAGGTACCGGAAGAGAAAGTTGTACCATCAATTCCTATGCAGTTTATAGCTGTAGAGAATGCAGAGATCAAAGCTTCTTTACAGATAGACAGTGATATGAAGTGGACACCTATAAATGAACTTGCGGATCAAACTAATTTGAATTCAGTTACACCTACCATATTGTTACCAATTTCCCAAAATGATCAATCATCGACGAATGGTACTTCTTACAGGACGTTTACCATTCTACCAAACTCTGTGGATGGAAGTACAGCATCGCTGTCAGTACCTTTGGAGCTTCTGAATACTACAGACGCTCAAGGTAGTGTTACAACCATGCAGCCAATATCCCTGACACAGACGTCTCAGTCCAACACAAATCATCTATACATGCAACATTCTCCAATCAGTCCAGCCCCTGCTATTTCACCGGAAGTCAGCTACAAACAGTCCAACATGACCAATTCACCCATCACTCCACCAGCAGCGGAAACGTCTTATCAAACCCCAAACAATTTTGTGACCCCAGTTACTCCAGAAGCGTCGACATATTCAAACTATTCGCGGAACATCGCAAATTCGCCAATCAGTCCGGTAACCTCATCTGCGGAAAACTACCAATCTCTGAATAATTCACAGTCCCAAACAGCATCCATTTTAACTCAAGATTTACCTGTTCACAACGATGCTGATATTACACAAATGTTGAAATTAGATCCGAATTTCGCCCAACAGAACTATGATACGGCTTTTCTTCAAGTGTACAATTATCAGAATCAGTTGTATACGCCTATGTAGTCACGTTGTTGTGGTTCGCGTGTGACAGGGTGGTAAAAGCTTCTATGATATTCTGTATGTGCCAATCAATCGTCAGTCAAAATAGCACTTCTTTATTGAAAGAAATTGGCCATAAAGCATATAACACATCTTTTTTTCTAGTGAAGATTATTTAGCGATTTTTGTAGCAATTGATTATTCATGAATACAAAATATTCATTGTAACCTGTTTTACGCAATGAAGCGGGATTCTGTTAGATTTGTTAAAATACTGGAACATAAAGGTTTACAATAATATTGTTACGCTAATTTGTATGTTATTAGTGCTTGATATATAAATTGTTTGTTATTTATTGATAAAATCTATTAATATTTAAATTGAAAAAATATTGTTGAGTTTATTTGAGTCCATAACCAGTGTAAAAATAAATATTAAATAGAATAGACTTTATCTTGCCCCTGATTGTGTCAATGGATTAAAAAAAATCTACAGAAAACGGCAAGTTTTACCATTGGAACAACATTTGCCCACTCTATTGCAATTTCCAATTGTCCAAGGAACTTAAATGTTCTGTAATTGCTCATCGGAATATTGTCCCATTCGAATGACATGGTTCTATTTCCAGTTGTGATGTCAGCACATTGTTTTCATAGTTATATGTCGAGTTCAAACTGCAATCAGGCAGGTTAGGGGGTAAGCCCTTTATTCTCCGAGGCACAATAAGTACTCCACATAATGTACAAATATATAAATGAATACAATGTACTAGATTCTGAACTTTCTTGAAATGTCTATAGAATTTACATTACCAGACACCAGTTTTAAGTGCGACCAACAGCTTTCGGAACCATATATCAGAACTTAGAAAATATTCACGACAGTGTTAGTAAGTTGCTGACTAGACTCCAGATATAAGTGCAAGAACAGTGTGAGATATATATATATATGTATGTAAGTATATATATATATATATATATATATATATATTGTATATATATATAAATAATTGGAAGGTATTTTTAGCTTCAGTAGGCGATCACTAATAAGATTTGATGATAGGTGTGCACAGTTTCTAATCCATAATATCGTCATAATTTTGTGGGCTAAATCTGTGTTCGCGATTATCCTTGCTTCAATCTTGAAACATTTGATAAATGTATATAATGGAATGATTAAAATTATGTAGGCAGTCGACGATTTCACTTATACAAAGCTTTAAAAATTACATTGGATTTTGAAACCTGTTCGATGTCAGTACACCTCCATGGTAAACCTTCTTTTGACTCCTTGTAGGTTCCATGCAATATAAAGTCGACGAATTAATCAGCTCTAGAACGTGGGTTTAATTCTGTGGTTAACACAATTTGATTTCTATTTAAACCTCCTGTAAATAGATCCTCAAAGCATCTGTGTCCAGAATAAAGTTTCACTACAGAGTATGTCAGTAGGGCATTTCGAGATCATAAAAAGCTCCCAGTCAGCAGAAATGTATTTCCGTTTGGATTTTCTGCTAAATCTGCTCCAATAACCTTTGTAGAACGTCGCCACCATGGAGATCTACTGGTTTTAAGAAATCATCTAGACATCAGAAACACAGTTTGGGGTCTGAGATTGTTAAATATAAACGATTTTTTTTTAAAGTGAAGATTCAGTAGGCTCGAGGAACATTAGAAAGGTAAGCTGTTTTTTTTCATCAGTATTATCAATATGATTCCATGTACCGTCACTACCTTGACTTGACAATGCTCTGGAGTAGGGAACCAAACCAAAAACAATTATTCCTTGACTGGAATTATTAACAATTTATTTCTTGAGTAATTCGTGGTAATCACGGTGTGAACAGCCCTCGGTCCTAGGGTATTTGGGTTTCCAAGGACTTGAATGTCTATTTCATGTTGGGTTAAGTCAATGTAATTTAAATGTCTAATGTCTTTAGATCTAAAATGAAGTCTGTTAGAAAGGTTTTAGAACGTGGGTGTCAATTCATAACCAAGCATAGCTACAGTGAGAGTGCTGTTCTTCAAGACGTTCGAGTAACATCGCGGTTGCCCGCAGTAAGTGAACCATATGTGAAGCCGACAACTCGGAAAGAGAGAAGCATGGGAGATATACCTGGTCCTTCAAGTCTACCTCTTATTGGAGCATTATGGCAGTATTTACCAGGTGGTGAGTACAGTTTTCATGAGTTTGTGGCTTTTTTGGTTAGTCCTGAACTGTTTCAATTAGCGGAAGAAAGATGTCTAATTTTCGTGAACAATTAATGGTCGGATACCTCCGTCAACATATATACTCGTACGAGGAATATAAGTTTGGTGGATGTTTCAATGAAATAGTGGATCTTTCATGTGAATTATCATGCCCCTAGATGTAGATTTGCTTCTACGAGGATTAAAAATAGTCCAAGCGTTAATGGAGATCATTCCTTATGTTTTTAGGACGGTTTTATGGAGTGGATTTTAATGAATCTGTAAAGAGTCTTCAGAAGATGTATGGAGATGTAGTCAGAGAAGATATAGTTCCTGGGTTTACTGTCATCAGGCTCTTTAATCCCGACCACTTTCTAGATATCAGACAAGCAGAAGGTGAACTACCAGCTAGAGCCATGTTTGGGATGCTCAGACGTTACAATGAACTTTATAATCAGAATGTTCAGGGATTGCTGACCAGGTAAACTTTATATTTTGCTTGTAGCATTAAGCAATACCCACGAAAAGATTTCGTTCCTTTGGCAAACAGGATGCATTTCATACTTCGATAGTCCTTATGAATTAACAGATCACACCTTTATGGGACTACCCCCAGATTTTATTGTCCACATGTCCATTATTGTGTAAAAACCAAATTCGTATAAGTTGACGTCAATACTTACCAATATTACTGAATCTAGATGGTGGGCGCTTTTCATTTTGTGCAGGCTTACGCAATTCATTGCTTCGTTTCTGAATGCTCTGATAAATAAACTGTCAATTAGGGATTGTTCAGGATCATGGTTTCGGGTTTGACTGTACAGAGTGGGGGTTTAATCAGCTGAGATTTAGTCACAGCCAGTAATCTCCTACCAAGTGTAACTAATTTTAATCTCCAGTCAGGCTATTTTAATCTGGATGTAGGAAGTTTTCATATGAATTTTATCTCTGGATTATAACAACCTGCAATCATTTGACCCAATTTAATGCCGGTAAAACAGCTGATCGAATTTATTTCAGTGTATTCATCAGAGAAACCACCTTACTTCATCACAACCACATTTCTGCCATTTAAACTAAAGTTATTCTTGTCATTTTATCTATTATATCTTCAGTTCATCGACAATTTTTTTTAATACTTCGCTTGTCAAATCAGATTCTTCTTTGAAGGTATTAGTAACTGATTTGGCATTTTCTCTTTTTAATGAGATTAATAAAGATTAACTTTGAAATTATTTTCTAGTCAAGGTATTGAGTGGCAACAGATGAGACGTGAAGTTCAGCAGAAGATATCCTCACCACAGGCTGTCAGATCCTTTGTCAAGAGCCAGATGAGTGTAGCCGAAGAGTTTCTAGACAGAATGGATGGCTTAAGAGATAGAGATGGAACAGTGAATGATTTCTTACCTGAAATTTACAGATATGTTACTGAAGGTATATATTTGTTTGATATCTGGTATTTCATATAGCCCTTTTGCAAACGTGGTGGTTTATTTTAGCTAGAATAATTCTTTTAGATATTAAAACCTGTTTTTTGTGATGATGATCCATGGCTGACGTTTGAAAAGCATAATGTAGTTTGGAGGAAACACTGGGATAATTAGCCCAACAGCACAATAACAGGAAAACGTGAAAACTGTCGCCTTTTAATCCTAACAAACAAAAGTGTCTCATTTTGATATTTTCAGCCATTGGTGTAGTATGTTTTGATGGAAGGTTAGGAGTCTTGAATGCTAATGATAGGGATGGTCAGAATTTCATTAAAGCTGTGAATACATCATTATCTCTGATTTACAAAGAACTCTTCACACCTCCCCTTTATAAACTGGTTACAACTCCTATGTTTAAACAATATTGTGAGAACATGGATACAATACGAGGGTAAGAACTTAGGCTTTGATATATCACCAATAGTTTCAATAGCGTCAAATATAATTGGATAACACATCTAGGATTTGCAGACATTATGCAAATTCACCACAATCACAAGCCAGTCCCATAGTAGCCAGCGTCACAGTAAGTGAAATACAGTAGAAACTTTTCACACAAACTATCGGGCAATACATTTGGTGAGTTATTTTTAGTTATTTTAGTAAATTGGCACAATTGTTATTCCTTGCTCAAAATTGGTCATAAACTTGGTTATTTGTGATAAATAGACCTAAAACTGTATTTACTTTCATTTCAGATTATCGGAAAAACATATCAACAATGCTTTAAAACACCCAATGACTGATGGAAGAATGAATTTAATACAACAATTGTCATATCAATCTAAATTAACATACAGACAGATTTTTACATTTCTGAGTGAACTGTTCTTCGGTGGAGTTGATACTGTAAGTTATTATGTTTTTGTCAGGAAAGTACGATATTAGATCAAGCTTTTCTATCAATCGGAGGGCACCTTCGTACCTTGGTGGTAAGCGATAACGAAAATGCTCAACTGTGCAATAGTGTGCTTATTGAGTGTATTGGAAGCTACTTGGGTTTGCGTTTGAACGCTAACCTGGGGTCTGTCGTTCACACCCGCTTCAGATTACTCCATCCACTTTCGTTTAATGATATTGTTAAAAACGGGATCATGAGTAGCCAGGTCTAATAACAATTTATCTCGTTGCATACTGCTACATACGTCACTTCCGCAAGTTATATCAATTTGATATCAGTATCGTTATATTATAAGTTAGAAAATCAGATAAAGGATATTTATTTTAAACTAACTTTAATAATTTCATTTCTTCTTTCAGACTGGCCATTGTCTGGTATTCTCCTTACATGCTCTGTCCAGATATCCCGAGGTCCAGGAGAAACTTTATAATGAAATAAAAGACTATTCTTCTTCTGATATTTGCAATGGTGCACTGGATTCTTCTTCATATCTGAGAGCATTTTTGAAAGAATCACTTAGGTAAGGTATTTTTTTCTTTGAGATAAGAAATGAACATAAAAAGAGCAGGAGTAGGCTTGATGAACCTCCAGGAGGGTTTCAGATCAGAATTGTCAAATGCTATCACATGACGTTAAGTTGATGACTTCAGCAATTATCTTCAAGTACTGATTCTGCTTTATCTGACAGATCATCACACACTATTAAAAAAAACCAATTCTGACAGTTCTTCCGATATTGATTCAAATGTTTTAAGTTTTTACAGGGATTGCTCTAAATTAACTGATAGCATCAATTTGAATCATTCCAAATTTCAATCAGATGTCAATCAGATTCCTGGAATTCCACTAAAACTAAGGGTTTGATGACGTCACTAAACGTAAAAATATGCTATATCACATAGTGATGTCATCAAATACCTATTTTTAGTGGGATTGCAGGAACCACAGACGTCTGATTGAAAATTGGAATTGTGCAGATCGATGCTATCAGTGTCCCCCGATAAAAAAAAAAAAAAAAAACTTCTTTACAATCTCTTAGACACTCATTTTCAGAATGTTTCCTATTGCTCCGGGATTGGGTCGCACTACCAGTAAAGATACAACTACAGCTGGATATCACATACCATCTGGGGTAAGTAATGTTATGTAGTGTTATGTTTATATTTTTGGGTGTCCAAAAAACGTCCCAAAGTTCGACGGGTAGTATCTCAACCGTTGGTTAAAAGATATCCCTTGTTGGAAACCCGATATATGCTGGGCTAACAGAGAAAGCAAGTCATTGTTATTCTGCAATTGTTCCGGCAAACATGCTTTATTTTGAATGATGAGTATGATAATAATACTCAATACAAATAAAACCATTATTCCTGTTCACATAGATTATTAACACTCATTTAGGTTGAATCTGCGATCTGCACTGAAAACAAGTATTCAACTTCAGAATTTCTTATTTTAGACCAACATTGTGTTACATTATGACATGGCTGGTAAAGATGAACGATTTGTACCCAATCCTACTGAATTTATACCAGAAAGATGGATTAGACCAATCCCGACATATATTTCACCCTATGTTACTGTTCCATTTGGGTTTGGACCTCGTTCATGTCCAGCTAGAAGAACAGCTCTACAGGAAGTTTCTCTGATTCTAATTAAGGTAACTTGGTTTTACATTTTATAAAAATACTTGATTCGACGTTATATTTTCATAAATCAAACATTATTGTGCCTCTGAGGGAACTTTGGAAGATCATTTTTCAAGCAACCCTACCAATACGATGTAAGAACATTTTATATGTTCGCTAGCTTTTATTTCATTTACGTCAGAATAATTGCTTAATGATCATACTTAACTGAACTTTTAAGCATGAGTTTCGGGTTCCAAGTTAGGAGATTCTTTATTTTGCATTGCAGATTCTACAGAAATACAAGATAGAAGCCACCACTGAAGACCTGCCCATAAAAATGCAGCTTCTGAACTGTCCGTCTAAACCTGTTTCTTATACGTTTATTGAAAGGGAGACATGATATCAATTTAATCAGTTTGATTGGTAATAAACGCAACTCTGGAATCTGATATCTCCTTTCGAGGTACTTTCAGTTTATTTTCCGTGGATAACTAAGATCCTACACCTTTTCTGAAACCAGATCATTTTGTCAGTGAAGAAAGACAAATATACGAAACGAAATGTTCAGATCTTTATAGGAATTTTAGAAATGCTGCTATATCAAAGTGTTTCAAACTCTTCAGCTAATTTTTGTGAAATATATCTATAATTATGAACTTAAAATTTAATGACCAAAGCTTTGATACTTTATCAATAACCCTGAAGTGAAATGAATATATATAATATCTTTTAACTATTACTTTGCCTTTCTGGCGAAGAAAAATCCTATATCAATTTTTATTTTTTTAATTAGCGAGGATTCGGCATAATCTCTTAATTTTTATGTTAAAAATGGCCCCATGTCTAAGTTGGGACTACTTCCGGTTTGTAAGGCCAGTTCCCATGTCTCTATCTGGAATTCCTGGTATGAAAGTCAAATATTATTTAGGTTCTTTTTTATGTTTTTAATTTTGAATAAAGTGCTTTCAAAATCTGCCTCTTCTTCTTTTTTTATTTCCAATCAAAGCTTGACAAATCAAAGACATTTTAGAAATGTTAACTACACTCTTTGTACTAAATACATACGAAGGTTTAAAAGTTCATAACATCAAGCTAGTAAATCTTCTAACATTTAGCGCTAGTACCAGATTAACTCCAAAAGCTTCAGGTCTAAACTAATTCAAAATAGTTCTTATAATATAACGGATTCAATCCATCCAATCAAAATTGCCGAAGATAGTCGCTTTACATTTGCATTACAAAATTGAAAGACGAGTTTCCATTGACATTTTGGACAATTGGGTATCTACAGGAGTTTTATACGGCCTCGTTCTCAAATCTTCTACTAGACTGAGTCTCGCTTTTCCAGCTCCATTCATCATGCTCATACCATGATGCCCTTGGCGCTTTGATATTCGGTTAACCAGGACCTTGAAGCCGTTCCTGAAATTCTCATTAAAGCCACCATATATAATAGGATTAGCTGCTGTGTTGGTGTACATCAATATAATGGACGAGAAATAGAATGGTGTATACCAATCTGGTAACTGAAATAAAAAATGACAACTAATGGGATTTGAAGCTTTCTTGTCAGCTCTCTATATTCAAACGTCTATTAGAAATCGTAGTATAATCTGTTGCTCTCAGAGAGTCACTTTATCTCACGAGCACAGTCACACACGAAATACTAGTACAAATAGGTTCTGTACTTTCAAACGCCCGATTTTAAATCAACATAAATTGGTCGTTTGTATGCCAAATAAAGATTTAGAAAAAAGTAAATATATGAAAAATTTATGAGTTTAATTTCACGGTTTGGAATTCACGTTAAAATATCACAAAATCCATAAATTAATATCCCTGTTCAGAAGCATAAAATTATGTTATTACGTTAAAGAGTCTTCAACGACTCTTTGATTATATTACATGAAATATTATTGGGAATATCAGATAGATACAAGTTACGCCCAAAACACTCACCCTCTCAGACTGGTCCTCTCGATATAATTCATATAGTTTGGTAAATTGAAATGGTACCGTACAAATCATAAACACGATCAAAACAGAAAACAGCATCTTCACTACCTGCAATATTCATTTTGCCACGTAGAAAGAGCAGAGCTTGATTCAGTATGGAAAGCAAGATACTTTTGCAAAAATAAGCTTAGTCTTTCACAATGAAAGCAAAATCTGCACTTTAACGTATAACATGGAACGGCAATCCAAGGCAAGGAAGAAATAAAATTACTTGTCAAAATTTGGTTTAAAGAGAAAGTGACAAACCTTGCTCTTTGATCTTCTATGGATAGCGTTTAAAGACAACTCTCCACTGCTGGGAAGAACTCTATTAAACCTCAGGTTGATTATTATAATAGTGTACAAAATGGTCATTACAATCATCGGTACCCAATTCAGTACCACAGACACCATGATCCAAAACGCCCTTTTAGATGTTAGTCCATTATCACATTTTTGATCTATCATATAAGTTGGCCAAACGTCTGTACAAAACTTCTCCACGTAGTTCGACCACCGCCGTTCTTTGTATGTATAGGTAAACAAGGGAGCTAACCCTACTGCAATGGCCGCCAACCACACTCCTGTGACCATAATGCTTACTTTACGTTGCGTTACTCGTGATTTTAGTGGATAGATGATTGCAAAGAATCTGTCACCGGCTATAACCAATAATGTAAATGTACTCGAACACATCGCTGTAACTAAAAGAACAGATTTGATTTCACTCAGACACAGCAGTTGGTACACTTTCCAATATAGCGGAACGAGAAAATGTGGTGGATTTCACGGTACCTTATTACGATTGTTGGTTGACAATCTTAACTAAGAATTTCATTTCTTAATAATTATGAGTCTCGGATAAGCGGAGTCAATTCAAGTAACATAATTAAGCTGTGATATGAAAGTAATGATGGACACATGAGATTTAGACGTGGGTGGATTGAAATTTAGATATGTTTTGAGAAAGTTGACGCACTTAACAAGATCGAGAAAAGGTCAAACTTACCTTGAAGACATGCATTGAATTTACAAAGAAATCCACCAAGTATCCATCCATCTGATACATCATCAAACACCGCTATCCACATAGGAAAAATAGCCACGAACAGGTCTGCTATGGCGAGATTTAGGAGGTAAAGATTGGTGGTAGTTCTCATTTTCTTAGACTGAAGCACAATCAAAATCACCAAAATATTTCCTGTTAATGCCAAAAGTTCTAGAATGACCACGACTGAAATTTTGGCTGCGAGCTCCCATTGTGGAATATCCTTGAATTTCCCCGGAAACTCGAAACCACTGACATCAAATTCACGGTTCTCTGGACAAGACATCTTTAGAAACGTCAAGATATATCTAACCCACATTTACATCCTTATGGTTGAACAGTTATGTTACCGGAAGTAGAAATTCCTCTTTAATTTGGTAGTTCACCAACCAAGTAGTATGTATTGCTTTTTTACAGTTGTCAATTGAAACTCATTAAGAAAGAAAAATCCATTATTCCTGATAACCGAACTGATAGAAAACGAGAAACAATGTTATGTAACATTATATTCAACAATTCAATCAAAGTCTTCTGTATTTCCTTAATCGATTGTTCTTTAATTGATTACAAAGTTTTAAGATGCGATGGCCACAATTTCTACATGCTGTTATCAACCGTGTAACGGACGAGGTTCTCTTTCGTTCCGACATAGGGCAATTTCCGCTTTGCACAGATAACAGAGAATATTGTGATAAGATATTTTCTTGACAAATCTTTCATCTCAAAACCTCAGACATATCAAGGGCAATAAATCTTGGTTCATTCGATTGAGGGGAAGCTGGAAAGGGAACCGCGCAGCTGTGCTCTTGAGTAATGGCGGCTTGGGCCGCTTTAATGTGACAGCATTATGGTCAGTTATTGGAAAAGTGTCATCGGAAGTTTCTAATGGTCAATACTGATGTTGATTTGTGAGTTTTCTGTTTGCCTTGTGATCGTCCGTACCAGTTCATGATAGAACTTATTCTGATAAAGTTTTCTAGATTGTAATAAATGATATAAACGTCACTTGATGAACCCCTTTACCTTTTTATAGTAATATAGTCCAATTTTATGTGGTTATGTGTTTAAGGGTAGAAAATTGAAGGTTTTCTTTTAGAATTTCAGCTATTGGAGGTGGGCTATCATCCAAACCAACAGACCCGGAAAATTATGGGAATGATAAAGAAACTTGTGTTTGTCTCTGACAAACACCCACCACGAAAGTTCCACTTCGCTCTCAAACACATAGCTTTACAGCAGTTGACGAATGGAAGCACAATAAAGTAAAATAATAATTGTATTTTGTACATTTGTTACTGTTACAGACAAGTTTCACTTCTCCATATTATATCATCAATCAGGGGCGATTATGATTTTTTTTATATAGTTTTGGAAATCGTAAAAAGAGTAGTTAAATTGCTGTGTCTGTATGACACATCCTTATTATCCTTATAAGGCACAAACCCAATACACCACGAAACGTTTACTCTAAATGCACTGAAATTGCACTGGTTTAACCAGTAATGACTGGCCATTTTTAATCAAAAGAATTTTTCAAACTTATTTAATACATAACAAACAATGACGTCATATAAAATAAAACACACATATAAACTGCTTTAAACGTCAGTGTAACATCATCAAAGTGAAATATAATAATTCATAATGATGACAGTTTTGAGTATTCTCATGGAGACAAAGCCTTTGATCAGGTACATATATTTCTTTTAAGAATGTAATAACAAAAAATGAATAAAGGACATCTTGGTCTAGTGTTAACCTACATTCTAAACAAACGTGGGCGTTGAATTTTGGGGCGACATCATTTGTATGCATCTTTCAAAAATACAGGAAAGAATGTCTTAGCAATTTGAGCTTATATACTACCAGTCCTGACAAAAACCTCTTCCATTTGACTTAAATTTCATATAATTTGTTTTGTTGAGAATGTCGTTAGCTAGCACGCCCTTTCAGAACAGACAGACTTCAGAACTTCAAGTCTATAATGAGAATTCTATTACTCGGTCTTTGTCTTATTTCAAGGAAACAGATCCTAAACACAACTTATATTAGACAATCTTTCCAAGAACAGATCACTTACACACCCATTCATTCAGCATTCATGGAAATACCGGATTATAAACACGTGTCAGCATTTTTGGCGTAAACAGATCACTAACAAAAGTCAGCAATTTGGAGTAAACAGATCACTAACACATATCAGTATTCTATCAGTCTTGGAAAAAACAGATTACCGGCACAAGTCAGTCTTCAGCAATCTTGGAAATAACGGATCACTAACACATGTCAGCACTCTTGGCAATAACAGATCACTAACACATGTCAGCACTCTTGGCAATAACAGATTACTAACACGTCAGCACTCTAGGCAATAACATATCACTAACACATGTCAGCATTCTTGGCACTTCAGACATCTTACACACGTTTTCATGCAAGTCAGCATTCTGTATGGATGTCCCTGCTCGTAGTATTTCGGTGTTTTGAGGAACTGCACACTCCATTTCAAAACGAAGTGTCGATACACATGTTAGCACGATTATTGTAATCTTCCCGATGTCGCTTTAATCCCACTGCTTTCATTTTAATTTCTTCTAAAGGGTTCATATTTTCTTCAATAATAATTTTTTTAAGTGGATAAATGTAATGATTTCCAGATTTTTCTTTCACCGGTTCACTGTTATTTTTGGATGTGTTGTACTGTTCAGGTTTAGGGGACGTTGTGAAGTCATCATCTGAAGGGAACACTTTATCAAATCCCTGTTTACCTTCCAAGAAATACGTTGTCATTGCTCCCTTTCCTTTGACTTGAATTTCACCACGACAATGTAAATAATACCCACTCTCATACGCTGACAGTTTCTCGGCAGATAGCGGACTAAGATGAATCTTCAAGGCTGGAAATATAAAACTTGCCTTTAAATTTCCAAAATGGTTTGAATTAAAATTTTTGTTAAGTTCAGTAATCTTTTGTTTGGCAGTTTTAACTAAAGATTTCAGTAAGTTCTTGCTGGGGATCACGAGGAGAAAACGACATGTACCCATTCACACCGCAATTAATAGTCATCCTTGGTCAATTGTATCCGAAATCTGCGTCGACAGCATAATATCTGGTCCTAGACCTAAGTACATGTATTGAAGATCCTAACCGTGAAACGAGACTGGATATCCAGCCAACAGATTGGCAATAATAGATTATATAAGTTACTTACGCACTCCCGTTGATTCCATTCTAGATCCCGTATTAACTGTATCACCGAATAAACAATATCTAGGCATAGCTAATCCTACTACACCAGCAACTACTGGACCAGTATGTATACCTAATAATATAAAACAGACAATTTGCCAGACAATGTAACATATACGCCCATGGCAATTTTAAGCCACGGGAAAAAAATAGTTCTAGTTTGCAGTATTACTTGATGGTCGTCAGTACTTCTGAAGGCTATATACAATTATTCAAGATCCAAATCAACCCCCAAAAATGCTGTTCCCTATTAATAGAGAACCATACTCACCAATTCTGATTCTAATTTTTTTATTGGGTTGATGAGGAATACTGAAGGTAGTTATAGAAGACAGGATGTCCATAGAACAATCGGCTATTTCTTTGATATGTTTATCGCCGTTACGTTTAGGTAGACCACTAGCTAACATGTAGGCATCTCCTATTGTCTCAACTTTATATACATCATAATTGGTTATAATATCATCAAATAATGTATACAGACTGTTTAACAAGTTTACAACCTGAAAAATATTAAAGGTAAGATTTAAATACAACGGAGTGGTAATAACACCATGTAAAAAATATTGTACATACTGTGTTGTATATCACTTGACCCGAATTTCACAGTGCCTTCTGTATCACGATATTAGCATTTGATGAACAGGAATGACAAGTATCATACTATATAATACAACGATACAAGTGAACAAGGCTGTCAGTTCCTGTTCGTGAAGGAACCATAGACATTTTCGAGAATAAATAGCCAGGTACTAATGGATAAACAATTTATTTGAAACTGTTTTTGAGAGAACTATACAGATTATACTCAAATTTTGCACCTATGTATAGTATTTTTAATTTGCCATATATTTTCACTTGAAAACTTAATAATATCGCCTCACATTACGGAATAATAACTGTGCTATTTAAATGAATGTGGACGACAATTTATGTGCTCTAGAAACATACAGAGAAATAGAGAAGTACATGTAATACTCTGTTGCATGTTAAAATGCAGCATTCAAAAATTTGAATTTGATACATGGAATCATAAAATAATCTTCAAGAAATCACATAAAGAATACAAAATTTGATATTTTAATTCGTTTAGTAATGTCGGTCAACATCTGAAGCTCAGTCAAACTCAAGATAAGTCATATTTTCTAACACAGCTGTAGGGTTTTCTGGGAAAGTACCTTTGTCAAGAGGTTGGTCAAGAAGTTTCTGAATAAAAGGTTTCTCAAGAAACCTTTGTTTTCCTTCAATTCTCTTTTTGTCCCAAATTTCTTTCACTTACCTCAATCGGGGTACTTTCAGAACAGATTTTAGTAAAACCGACAATATCTGAGAAATATATACTGACTTCATCAAATAATTCGGCTTTCACTGGTTTTCCTAACTTTAAATCTTCAGCTACTGATCTGAAATGATAACATATACTGAGTTACAGAAACTGTTACTAGAGAAAAGAACATCTGCAAAACTGTCAGTCAGTGAAGGCGAAAAAAACCCCGGACATTCAAAATGCCACCATCCATAAACAAGGCGATGATTTTGAAGTCGATAATTTTCTTCGCTTTCACAGAGTAAACGATTCTTAAAAATCTCTATTTCTGTTTTTGAGACACAAAGAAATCAAATTTTATGTTTTCGTGAATATCGGCTCCAAAAGCCATTGCAAACACGATGTATTCTATTACATTACATGTCATGTATACGCATACATTTCCGATTCAGAAAAGGAGTGTGCAATGATTGCAATGTGTAATTATTGAGCGTGCATGGCCTCTTTCATAATATCAACCCTTTTTCAGTTTCAGATTTTTATTATAACAAAGTTATTATAAAGTTACTAGTACAAATTTGTACTCTCGATTTTGATTAACGGAAGTGTCTTGCTTGAACAGATTGATTTTGTATCACAATATATACAATTTTGAAAAACATAGGAATTAAATACTTCAACCAAATGTGGAATCGATTAAAATTTTGTTTAATTCATATTGCAAGACTGTTTTAGTACCACTTCTGATAAATCGTGATGAACAGACTTTAAAGGATCCAAAAAGAACGGCATGAACATGACTGAAAACTTACTGAGGTAACATTCTATATAGAAGATTTTCAGTCTTTTTCTTCTCTACATCTAGTTCACTGGTTCTTTCTGCTACCAATTCTTCTAAATGATTGGCATATTTCTCTAACATAGCTATCATATTATCTATCATAGTTTTATGTCTGAAATGGAAACGAAAACATGATTGAGTTATAAATTTTTCCAATTATTTATTCAATGGCTTTTTAGGTTTAGCTTAAGTTTCATTTCGATTTTCGATCCCATCATTGCTGATTGCTGATGGCCATGTCTCACACATGAGAAGTCACTCTAATTATAGAGTGGTTCTGTAGGAAGTAGGCAATGAACTGACACGGATATCAACAATCAAATCGTGACGGTAGAGAAAGACAAAGACCAGAAGGCGGAACAAGAATGCTACGATCGATCCCCTAATCCCCTCGGCGTCACCACGTAATTGGTCTTGTGCGAATTTTTGCAAGACGGAATTGTGAGTATTTTTATAACTTGCCAACGTTTAGATCCTCCCAGGAAATGTATCATGTGCATTTTCTAAACGTATCGCCACAAACTGTACAAAGCGGAAAGATAAATGGTAATATGAAACGTGAAGTATAACAGAAGCATACTTGGATGGATTAACTCTATGTAGTGTTTTTAAAACTCGTGAAGCAGACGGCCTAACACCAGGATCTTCTGACCAACAATCTTCAATCAGGGACGTTAACTCTCCATTTTGACGTATTTCTCGGGTTAAAAACGGCCGGAATAATGATCCATGTGTAGAGTATCGAACTTTGTCAAGAATTTCTGAAAGGAAATAAAAAAAAAATAACTATTACGACTTTTTCAAATCTCATAGTGCGAAAATAAATAAGTCATTTTAGTACTTTATCTTGACCAAATTCAACGATCAGATAAGCTGAATCCTATTTGAGCTGTTTTACTAGACCTTTATAACTGCTTGAACGTTTACTCTTCTGACCCATATCTCGACTTTTCACTTGTGTTTATCTATCTGAATACAATGTTTATTTATTTGGTATATTCAGTACTCACCAGCCGAGTTCAAGAATCCGAACTCTGAATATGGACCAGATCTCGTGAACACCTCTTTAACAACAATACCTAACGCATAGATATCAACCTTCTGAAAATCAACATTTCTTTCACTTCTTAAAACTTCTGGTGCTGTCCATAGCTTTTCTGAAAGCAACAGATTAAGAAGTTTAAGCAATCACTCAGAAAACAGAATTCATAAATGGCAGAATATAGGGTTAAAATGGGATTGTGTAGCTCGAAAACCTTTCTGAATGTAATATTATGTGGCTACATGTGTTATTCTCCCTAAAAGATGAGTAGCCTCCTCTCAATAAGATGGTGTCGAAGGTATTCTTAAAATGTTCTTTACTCGTTCCATAAGTTTGCTTGCAAAGCAATTCTTACCTAATTCGTAAAAAAGAGCTGTCTTATATCTACAACAAATAAACATGGTATTGAAATGCACCGGAAGTACTTACTATCACTCGCTTCTTCATTGGGTATAGAAGCCTTTTCCATGGCCCTGAGTCTAGGAACACCAAAATCAGTTAATTTACAGGTCCATCTACTGTCAACTACACAGTTACAGCTCTTTAAATTACCATGGTAACCAACACAACTTTTATGGATATATTCCAGACCCTAAAACAATTGAAAATAAATTCCGTAAAAATAAATTTTGAAGATATAATATTGAGTGCTTATGTTTATATTTTCATCAACTCAATGACATTCTAAGACTAACAGTAGGGGCTACTATTCTAAGGCTGATATTCCAATTATCATCAAAATAAAAAGCATACAAAGGAAAACGAATCCAAAAACTTTTAACGTTGCATAGACAATAGCAGATTTCTCATCTTAGCGTTTGAGCATTTAAGGTGAAAATTTTCAAGGATCCGAACCACCAGCTTTTGGCTATGATATTTGTTATACTATCCTATGATATGAGTATTGATTAAAGAAGATATTTCTAGGGCAAAGAAACAAAACGTGAGACTTTTTAGAGCTTCGTCAAAAGTATCTTCGATTTCAAATCATTGTGATCAATCTGTACTCTCAAAAATACGGAAAATGTAAAGCTAATTACAACAAAAACATACCTTTGCAACATCTTGACACAATGCAAATTTAAACAGCTGATCTAGTTTGATATTTGCATTCCAGATGATATCCTGTAGCAGAAAATGGATTTAAAGACTTACAAGTATATCACATGGGTTAGAATTACAGATACACAATAATTTGTCTCTTATAATCTTAAGGTAGGCGAGAATATATCATTGAAACCATACAAGCATACATACATGTATATTTTGTCTATTCTGAATGTCATTGAGATCGTCAAGGATAATTTTACGGAAATTTTCTTCCCGTTACCGACAAATAAGATACCATGAAAGGTTTGTCAACTTGCCTTCCATTTCGTCCAGTCCGCAGAATTAAAATGCCCGTATTTGGTTATACTTCGATAGGAAATGTGCATTTTCACACAGTTATAAACCCCGAGAGTAACTGACAAATCAATTGATGATGCTATTTGTTTAGATATACCGACCTGTAAACTACCTTTAGGGCAATATTCCCATATGACTATTATTCGACCAGGATCTAAACAAGCTCCAACAAACGCACAAACATTCTGATGCTTCAATTCCATCAGCTAGAATAGAAAGTGTGCGAAATAATATTTTAGAAGTTTGTTTATTTCTGTAGAGATTTTAGGCAGATGAACTTGTTGCTATTGAACAGAACACGATTTCGACATCCTCTTACTAGGGTCAGCCATACTATAATTTGTAGGCTATAGACGAGGTTATCATAAATACTCACATGTACTTTCAAAAAATCCCAAATAGATAAAAGTTAAGGAATTGCCACTGTGAGTGTCATTAAGATCTTTTGATTTCAAAATCATTAAATATAAATATATTTGTCCTTTTCTTGATTTAAACTACCATTAATTGTAAATTGAGTTCTAGATTTGATCTTTAATTTTCTAGGTTTTAAAACGCGATTTTTCCTCACTTTTATAATTTGAAATTTAAGGAGAAATATGACGGTATTAAAACATGTGTTCAAGCCCCGAGCTATAGTAATATATTGTCTGAATGACAACAGTGAAAACATTGTTTCTGTACCTGATTTAATTCTTGAAGAACTTCTTTTGTTAAACTGACGTTATTTTTAGACAGTCTTTTTACTGATACCAAACTTCCTGCAAAAAATACGATTTTCTTAAGCTAAAGTGACAGAGATTTCACTGATTCCAGAGCCACGTTTATAGATAAAAAGAATAAGAAACAATTTCAGATTTATTGGCTACATTACTAAGTTCCAGTTTCCATCGTTTCTTTTCTAGTATGTTGATTACTAACCTCTGATATAAGCTACCGAGCCAAACATTGTAGTTCCAGTTTCTATCAGGTGATTCGAACGCGGCGAGGCCTCTGCTACAAAAGTAACTGACGTTCTGCTTTTAGTGATCACCGAAGTCTTTTTAGAACTTCTTCTTCTTTGTAAGTTTTTGAAACTGGCCTACAATATTTTAAGAATGTTGATTTCAAACGATAAATCTGAAGGTTGTGCAACAGCATTACATATATAGATGATTGACTATCATGATATTTCTTTCGAACAAAGATCCTATCCATTCTTTTGATTGATTCAAGCTAGGATCGGTAGAGTTTGCTTTATTTGTGAAACGAGTTAAAATTTTGCTATAACAGATGTCTTTGGTATTACAAGACTTATTATAGAAAGTAAATCGTAACTAAATTTTAGGTGTTCTAGATGACGACATTCTTCTCTAATAAACCAAGTTCATCAGAGCGTCCTTGACGTGATTTATTTCATAAACTATGCAAAACTATCAAAAACCGCAGTTAAAAACTATCTTACAGTACCAGTATGTGGTAAAATGGAATAACAAAGTATTTGTTGTTTACATTATTACTCATCTTATGACTTAAAAAAAATATACAATGCTATAAATAAAAAAAAAAATTCAATCAACATCTAATTTAGATTGTGACCAAAATGTTTAAACTTACACGAATACTTCCACATAACAGAGCTGTGACGAAATCGATCTCTTCAAATTTAATCTGCCAGATCATACTAGCTAATTGACGTTGGCGCCGATATCTTCTAAAAATGAGACATATACCTCGTTAAATATTTAGATAAGTTAAAATGTACACATTTAAAATAATTATGATCATCATAATCCGTTAAGTGAATATTATAATGAACATGTGACCTAGAATATCGTATAATGTCAGTATTTCGACGTATATCAATAATCATTATGCATTATGCCAAATTGCCAAATTGACCGAACAGCAATAGGAATCATGTAACATTTTAACTGTAAAATATATACGAGAGTCAAATTATGTATGAATGCATACTGGAATAAGTTTTCATAAAATTCATTTTACAAGATAATCCCATTCGCAATTGCTATGTATAAAGAAACGCACGGGTCTCTTATTTTGTATTTATATGTATATGCATCCAGGTAAGAATACAAAATACTAGGTTAGTCCCCTCGTGGTTGTCTACCATAAAGGCTAATATGAGGTCATCACCATGAACAAAATGCTGTACAGCCAACTTAGTTCTATTGCAAGCTAAGACATTCAAAGAGTTGCTCAAAACTCTTCACCCGACCTACGTAGTTTACGAAGTTCATCAAATAGAGAATCGTATCTTTGTTTCTTGACATCTCTCAAAATTGCCGTGAGTAACAACTGTACAAAAATCAGGACCATGGTGAAGAAGTTTAGGAAAAACTGACCTAAGCAAAAACTGGACACCAAGCGCTACAAACAGAACAAATGACGAACCGGCTGCAGCCCCAATAATAGTATCAGTATACACTGTTTGTGGTTCTGGATCTGTAACATACAAAGTAAAGTTTCAATTAACATCCAGTACAAAGAATGCAATGCCACAGTATAACTGAAACACTGGCAAAATGTTATTTCTTATTAATTACACCATAAAGCTGTTAGCAAAGTATAAAAAGAACGAAAAAAGCAAAAGGTTTATTTTATCCTGTCTATTAGCTGGTTTTGCTGGTCGTCGTGGCCAAAAAGTGTTTAAGATACTGGTAGAAATGGTCAGAACCAAAATAAAAGACAATAAAACATACCCTTTTTACAGAATTCGCCTTCAAAACCACAGGCAGGAGTATCAGGTGGTGCGTTTTTTCTTCCAACCAAACCATTAGGCCAACGTACTTTTATATTTTCTGTCATGGACTAAAAGTAAAAGTAAAGGGTAAACATATTGTGTATATTTACTACAACGATATATATAGCTTTATTTTAACGTCGCTATCCCAAGCACTATTCAAGTCAACTGTTTTTGCGAATTAGTGAAGTCACCTCTTCGTAGGGAAATCGGAGGGGTACTGATAGAAGCTATAAATATTCCCTATACACATACTAGAAAATTTTAGAAAACCGCTTTAAAATCACTCAAATATAAGACTAATCTCACCGTATAAACCATTCCACCATTCAAAGTATTAGAGATTTTGACAATGGCTGTAAAGTTGCCACTTTCCTGCATGTCTAGAATCCAGATGTTGACCAACCTATCACAATTCTGATCTAATACCAACATACCAGTTACACCTATAGATTGAAAAGATGAAAAATGATAGTAAAATAGGTCAATAAGCCAATACGTTTTTAGGCTTTATTATTTTTCATATTTCAATGAGCAATGCATGAACAAAAAGACAGCATGAAGATGCTTTGGAATCGTACAATTTGTTTTTATTTAATAAAGCCTCAAAGCATTTTCACTAATTTCGTATATCAAAGAAGATACAATTTCGCAAATATGAAAAAAAATGTTTTTCTAGGATCGGATAAAGCTAAACATCTGTCACTGCAATGTTAATTCATAAAGATAAGGCTTAAGCAATGATCATCACTCTAAACATAATAACCTAGCGTGATTAGGATATCAGTAATGTGTATTATACATGTATGTATTTAGAAATAATAAAACAAATATAAATGCATTGAGAGTTTCACGCTGTGCGTTTTTATTATATATCTTCATAACAATAAATGTATTTTCAATGAATATACAAAGCATGGAATATTCTGATGTTTCTATATACATATATTGTTTGTATATTTGGATACTTGTGGTTAAAATATCAGTATGACTCACCATGTGTTTCTGCCATCTGTGCCTGTTGAAAAATATGACTACCATTCCTAGGATTCAAACCAGCATGAAGAGTTTTATTTACTAGTTGAGCCCAAACAATTGATGCATCGTAAATAAATGGAGCATAAGCATCAAGCTGAAAATTAACCAAAGTACAATATAATCATTTAACGGACACAAACAGACTTTCCAGTTCAAATCACAAAATCAGAATTATAGCCGAAGAAAACACAATACAATGATACCACCGAAATCTATCAGGAACTCTAATTGAAATGTAATCATAACGTAAACGATAAAATTAAGGCGGGGAAAGCAGCAGATGCAAATATTTCAAAAGGAAAGGTTGATGCATATGAATCTGGAATGAATGTGCTGACAGCAGGGACTGAAAAGGTACGAAAACTCAGCTGATTCCAATACGAACTGACAGGCCCGTGGCAAGAGTTGATTGGTTGCAAGGGCAAGTAACATACAGAGGGGTATGGTTATAGATTACCACTTCCTTCGCTCCTGTGGATACGAGTCTTCAAACTGATGATCTATAATTACCTCGTCACCTTCCGGTAACTCCCAATGTGGTGACGTCAATCCACCAGTTCTGCTAACCAGGTTTTTGAATGTACGGAACGTTGTAGCATCTGTAGCCGCCATTATGACCTGGATAAAAGGATCATGCTCATACATCAACTACATTCTATCAAATTTTGTAACATCAGTTGATCACAGAGCGACCTTCCGTGGACGTTGCAAAGAAACGCGTTTGTTGTTATGCTACCCTCCCAAAACGTGACATTCAAGAGGCTCCGTTGAGACCTAAGGATGCACAAGCTGTATTATAACAAGAATACCATTTCCCTCTTTTGTTTTACTCCTGTATGATTGTCTAAAGATTCATCTCTCAATAAATATTCAATAAATTCCAATAATGCCTCTGCATTGTTGTAAAAACCCAAACCTCCACACCACAAAAGCACGAAAACTTACGTGGATAACTGATTCAAATGCAAATCTGGCTTTTTCATCGAACTCGTCTCCTCTCTTCCAACCGCGGTTTGACATTACGTCATTTTCTAAAGCTTGTCCGGTATATACCTACAAATAATATAAAAATAATAATCTGCAATCACAAATTAGTCTACTGGGACCAATTTTCAGCTGTGGTTGTCACAATCCGTTGTAATGACTTTTTGTTATGGATTTATTCTGAAGGTTTGTGGCCAGGCTGACCCCACGCTCGTAGTCTTCAATAGTTCTTATGTTTAGATTTGACCATATCTGAGTCGGTAATTGTACACCAAATTCCAAAATTTTAACGTTCTTCAAGGGCATTTCTGAATCATTTTGTTTGTGCCGCTCCCCTAATTAAGCTATATCATTAGAAGGTGCAGCCAGACAACTTTGATCTGACTTTTGTAATCGTGAATAACCATATATCATAATCGCGGTATTCCATTTGACAAAACTTTGGACATTGAAATAAAAGGTGTAGTCCTAGCAAAATATAGCTTGTTTGTATACTTACATCTCCATTTATACAAAGAAAAACAAATTCGCCATTGGTCATACCAAGCCTATGGGCAACTAACATATATTTTCTTAGACTTAGCCACGGCACTGCCAGTACTATCACTAAAAAAGAGATGACTTGCAATAATCAATTCATAATTAAGATAATTTAGTGGAACTATGTCAGAATCTCGTATGATTAAAGATATAACTAGGCTAGGCCTATGAATTAATTTCTGAAGCTTTAGATTCTTTAGAATGACGTGAAACTATTTTTGGAATTTTAATTAAAAACATTTTTTTTTTTCCCAGAAAAGACAATTTAATTTGAAAACAGATGGTTTTTGTATGGTGGCCAAAACGTGCCTCTTTCTGTTGATATAGCTAGATTCCGTATGGTTTGTCCAGGGTTGTAAAGAAATTTTTATATTACATTGCGCTATAGGACCACCATACACTTAAAAGTTTTCCAGAAAACAATAACATAGATTGTTTC